CCCAAATACCAATCAGTATCTTTACATTAAATGACATCTCTCTACTTAATCCCAAGCAGAGAAGTTTTTTGTGAAATCATATTCCTCATTCAATCAAGCGAAGCTCTGGACTCGTTATTTGAACATGTGGCATCTTTATAATCACCAACAGATGGTTGTCTCTTTATTTGAGAAGTTTGTTATGAAACCTAACTTGCCCGTATCTCTTTTGAAGATCCTCGGTAGAGTTATTGATTTCTAGTTCCTAGCAGGTGGAAGTCCCTTTAGCGAGACAACTTGTATTTGGTACTTTTTCAAATTTGAAACTTGATTAAAGAAGAAGATAAGCCATGTTCTAATAGTGGAAGCTTGTATTCAATCTGACTTGGTTTGTTATTTAAACAGGTGTTTATCTCCTTAATTGAGAATCGTGTTAAGATCCAGTAAATCTTTTGTCTCCAATAGATGGCTATCTCTTTATTTGAGAAGTTTGTTGTGTGGTATGACATGCTCACATATCTTTCGAGTATCTTCGGTAGAGTTATTGTTTATCTCCAACAAGTGGCTATCCTTTGTGAAGCTTGTTTATTACCTTTTTTTAAGTTTGAGACTTGATTAAAGAAGAAGTTGAGCTGTATTCTAATAGTGGAAGCTTACTATCATGTTAATACTTGTCTGCCTAGGAGTTTCTTCTCTAGAAGAACAAATGACTTTCCTTTTGAAGATTCTTGAATGGAGTCCATATCCTCTTCATTTTTCTCACTACCTATTCAGGGTTTCATTCCCTAATATAGTCAGTGGTCCATTGCCTCTCCGAGTTTATTCCCCTGTAGAGTGGGTATATCTTTTTACTGCTTGTATTGTTAAGTTTTCCACAGTGAAATCTTACTTTGTTGTCCGCTCTAACTGTGTTTTGATTTATTTCCATGCATAGTTAACCCCTAGTTGAGTCTTTCCCCAGTTATTTATTTTCTTGGTGGATCTCTTATTTTCTCTTTATCTCCGGCAATTTTGAGTCGTAGCTTCAACTATGCATTTTGCCCATCTCTTGTGGAATTTTATATTCCCCGACTAGGTATCTTCTTGTTTTTTCATGCAGAGTTTATTTTTCCTTTGCTAAGTCTGTCCAACAGTAGTTTGTCTTTTGTGGTACCTTTTTTCCACATAGTCCTGCGCATGCATTCATATCATAATCATTTTGCAGTATCTTAGGGCCAAAAATCGGGTCTTATGTATTTAAGTCTCTTCAATATCATCAAGACGAAGATGTCAATCTTCATATCTCCATATAGAAGAAACTTATATAGGGACATCTGTCATACCCTAATTTTTATCCCTAAGATCCCACCTATCATTGCATTTGCATTGCAGTCAAGATCCCAAATATGGGATCCTCCTAACTCTCTTCTCTTTGGGTTTGGCTGTGGAAGAAATCACTAGGAACCTTTTTGTTTCTTTTTGTCTTTATCTCCTATTTATTTCTAACATTACTAACCAAAATACAAAAATATATTGCAGTTTGCTTGTTTTCTTTCTCTGTATGTTTAAGGTTTTGTAGGGATGTCAAGGACAATGACGTGACTTCAAATCAAGTGTGGCTATTCAGTTACAATCTAGTTCAAATGGAAGTTTGACCTCATCTTGGTCAAACCATTAGGGGATTGTTTCAATTTCAAGTTATCAGTGTCAGTGGACTATTTCTCAGGTAATGTGTATCCAAGGTCAAGTTGTCTTGTGAGAAATTCATCAGATTATCAAGCAGTGATTCGTAAGAAGTTTGTTTTGAAATCAGGTTTATCAGGGTTCATCAGTCCAAATTATATTCATCTATGGATTTATTTTCCTCAATACTGATTCAAGATCAGGGCAAAGGTCAAGTTAATTCAAAGAGTCGTTGCTTCAGTTACAAGTTATTTAGTGGTTCAAGAATAGTTTCATTCATTTTAATCAGAGGTTTGTGGAAAAAATTTAAGTTGATTTTGGATTAAAATCAAGGTTTCATGGTCGTGTGTAAGGAGTATTGGTGGAGGTGCAAAAAGACACATTCTCTAAAGCCCATTATCCATTTTATTAAAAAAAAAACAATTCTATCCATTCACATTTTTTATCCATTATTCATATCCAATTTCCAAATATCCATATCCAATTTCTAAACCTATTTTCTCTAATTCATTTTTCTTCATATCTATTTCTAAACCATTTCTTTAAATTCCAATTATCTAAATTCTCATTTAAATCCAATTTCCATTTTTAAATCCAGTGTCTAAAATATTCATATTTCATTATCCAATTCATAAACCATTTCCAATTTCCAATATTCATTATGTCCAAATTATTTTCAATTTCCAATATTCATTATGTCCAAATTAGTTTCAATATTAGTTTCCACTTATTCATTTCATATTCATTAGCAACATGGACCATACCAACCAAAAACCATACCAAGCCCATTACAACCAATTTCCAACCAAAAACCATACCAAGCCCATTACAAGGAAAATTGCAACAAAAAAAAATGAATGAAAAAAAAGCTAGAAAATTTTACTTCATACCCCTACATCTATCCCCACACCCCTACACTAAAAAATATTGGACAAAAATGCCCTTCCTTAAATAGTATAATTTAAAAAAAAAATTCATTTCACTTCATTTGCACTAAAAGTCTTCCGGAACACACATTTGTATCTCTCAAACCGGAACTCTTCCTTAAAGTCTTCCGGAAGTCACTTTTCACGCTAGCCAAACCGGAACTCTTCAAGTAAGTCTTCCGGTTCCTTTGTTTTTTTTTCCCTTCACCGGAAGACTTAATGCATGTCTTCCGGTATACAATTTCTTGGATTTCTTCACCGGAAGACTTCGCTTAAGTGTTCCGGAACACATTTTTCCTAATTCCTTCACCGGAAGACTTTCTTCATGTCTTCCGGTTCATTGTTTTTTTTTTAATTTATTTATTTATTTATTTTAATTTTAATTTTATTTATTTATTTTAATTTTTATTTTATTTATTAATTTACTTTTTAAAATTTTTAATTATATTTATTTATTATTATGGTTTTAATTTTTATTTTTTAATTATATATATTTATTTTTATTTTTATTTTTTTTAATTATATTGGTTTTTTTTTCCAGTGGTGCGCACACGAGGCAGAGATGGTAGGATCCCTCACGGACTAGGACGGGGCGAGTCCTCCAGGATGGCTGAAGAAGAGCATTTTGATGCATCTGCATCAGCATCCGAACCAGTTGGATATCCAGGAGGACCATATGATACGTCTCTGTTAGTTAAGTACGAACAACATATTGCATACCGTATATGGTTCGGTCAGGTAAGTAAACGAAAATTATTTAATATTGACGGTCATTTCGAATTTTTAATATTGAATTTTATAATATATTTACTTTTAATTTTTTTCAGGAGAGAGGGTCGAAGAAAGAATTAAAGGTGGCTGGACATGGGTTGAAGTTGGCTCAGAGGGTTCCACTACAGCTACCTAGAGAGATGGAGAGATGAATATCTAGGTCTGGTTTAGCTTCACTACAGAGAACCAGTTTATCAAAGATAGACACAAACCTAGTTTCCGCTTTTGCAAAGAGGTGGCATCTAGAAACATCATCATTTCACATGCCGTTTGGTGAGATGACGATTACTCTAGATGACGTATCTTGCCTGCTTCACTTGCCCATCAGGGGAGTTTTCTGGAGCCCTGAAGATATCAGTGAAGCCCTTGCTGTTGAGTGGGCTGTTGATCATTTAGGAGTGTCACAGAGAGTAGCACAACAACAAGTCCGTGAATGCAGGGGTTCCTACTACAAGCTGGAGTGGTTATATGATCTGTTCGTTGAGCATAGAGCTGCATCTAGATGGCATTATGCCACTAGAGCTTATTTGTTGATGTTGGTGGGTTCCACGATTTTCGCGGACAAGACGTTTACGCTTGTCGAGGCACGATACCTCTCACTGTTTATAGACTTGGATGGCTTATCTGGATACAGTTGGGGAGCAGCTGCGTTGGCTACTCTTTACAGATATCTCGGAGATGCTTCCATGTTCAGCTGTAAGCAGCTTGGTGGTTATCCGACTCTCTTACAAGTATTTATTTTAATTTAGTATATTTTGTTTTAATAAATTTTATTATGTTATAATTAATTATTTTAATGTTAATACCCATATTAATTTTGTGACAGTGCTGGATTCATGAGTATTTTCCAACACTTGGAAAAAAAGGAGAGAACTGGATACCAGCTCATAATGTGGGTCTCCCTCGAGCGATGAGATGGTCATATAGGCAAGGTGCCTTGAAGGTGGATGAGTTACGACCTATTCTGGACGAGCTGACACCTGCTGATGTCATATGGCGCCCATTCGAGAATCATAGAGTATGGCGTCAGTTCGATGAGTTATGCCTATATAGGGGGTGTCTGAGGTGGGGTGACACTATTGTTCCATATTTGCCTGACAGATGTATGCGTCAGTTTGGATACAGACAATATGTTCCACATCCACCTATTGATCACAGGATGGCTGGTGATATTGATGTTGACTGGATTAGTTACCATCAAAGCGTCCAGAATGTGATTCGCCCGACAGCACCGGCCACCACCCCATACGAGACAGATGATGGATATCTTGAGTGGTATTATCGTGTCTCTCATCCTCGATTAGTATCGATACCCTATCATGATGCACCATCAGAGATGCCAGCAGAGATGCCAGTTCCAGTGTATGAAGCAGGACCATCTGATCCTAGTTGGGCTCGTGTGTCTTCGTTGATTCATCGTTATCTTCAGCAGGCTGGTGCTGAAGATGATGACCCACAGTTTGCGGATTTGTTCGAGGCTTTACATATTGCTCGATCACAGTGACTTATATTTTGTATTTATGATTATATGTTAACTTTTAGACTCATTTGACCCACAGTTTGCGGATTTGTTCGAGGCTTTACATATTATAAGTTTTGAAATTAAAATTGAGTAACAAAATTCATTATTCATGTTTTGAAATTAAAAATGAGTAACATAATTTATAATGTATAATGTGTTGGTAATATAGGCGTAAGTTGTTGCCAATGTTGTAGACGTGGTGCAAATCCTAGCATCCAAGATGTTGCTGCTGGAGAACGAAAATTCTTCCAATCTACTGTCACCGGTGGCAATGGAAACCCTTCTTTCATGTTCACCTAAATAAAAAAATAATCAAAATAGTAAGTAAAAAATAAATAAAAATACTTAGGGTTAATCGCATCATCAAAAAAACAACTAAGTACCTGAACCCAATGATTTCCATTTACAAAACCAATGCAGTAGATTGCTGCATTCTGTGAAAATGAAGTTGTCATAGGGAAGAAAGTCCAGCATTCAATTCCTAAATAGACAAGTACAACATTATAACGATTCGCTATCATGTAACCCATATCTGGTAGAGTTAACCATTTATGTGGTGGTTGAGAACCGACTTCCTCTATCATCAAAGATTCTCTCACCACTGCTAACTGATCAGTAAATAAATTGGCATACAAACTTGATCTTTCATTATGTATTATTTCCAACCCCAAGTCTCGACGAATCATTGACCAACCATCTTCACCCAATCCTTGCAATGAAGCAATGACTCTAAATCCACAATTACCATCTGATACAACATTAACTACATCATCAATATATGACCGAATGTGATTAGGAAACTGAAGGATGAACTGCTTAGATGACTGTGATAATTTCAACTTCTTCAAAGCTTGTGATGGTTGAGATTTCTTTTGTGAAGACTGTGATAATTTCAACTTCTTCGAAGTTTGTGATGGTTGCGATTGCATCTGTGAAGATTGAGATGCTTGATCAACATACTCGTGATAAGAAGGGTCTCTATAAACATCATATCCTACTGGTTTTTTGTCTTTCTTCTTGATTCCCCCTTTAGTTTTTATTTTTTCAGGTGGTGGACACATAGAAGTCATTGTAGGGAAGGCAAGTTCAAACACCCTACTTTATTTCGAATTCCGATCTCTTTAATTCATCTTATTACCTCTTCTCGTGTACCAAATCTTTGAGTTGTTGAAAAAACATCAGACGTATCTACACATATCTGATCTTTATCACATATTTGTAAAGGAATTTCTGAAAATACATAAAAAAAAAATTCAAAAAAAAATTCAAATAAAAAAAAATTAAAAATTAAAAAAATTAAAAATTAAAAAAATTAAAAAAATTAAAAAAAAAATTAATAATAATAAAAAAATTAAAAAAAATTGGAAACACGTACCGGAAGACTTCGTCAAAGTGTTCCGGTATGCACCACACAAATTACACTACCGGAACTCTTTGATGAAGTCTTCCGGTGAACACCACTTAAATTACAATACCGGAAGTCTTTTATGAAATCTTCCGGTACGTTATTTTTTGCATTCCGGAACTCTTTAAACATGTGTTCCGGTTTGAAAAAAAAAACCTACCAGATGTCATTTTTGAAGTCTTCCGATAGACAATTGGATCAGAACTCTTAAAAATATATAAAATAAATAAAATAATAAAATATTAAATATACATGGATAAAATAGGTATTTTAAAAAAAATGTAGGGGTATGGGTATAACTGATAGGGTATGAGGTAAAATTTCCAAAAAGCTAATGTCATGACCTTCACGTCATCCCTTTACACAAAAACAAAACCACATTAAGCCAATACCAATTTCCAAATCTCTTCAGCGCATAGCCCAAGCTTCATCAAGTTATTCACTACGCACAAGCCACCTCACGCTGCTATTACACGCGAGCTACCACATGATCAAAAAACTAAGCCATTTCCAAGCCTATAACCAAGCAGCCAAAATCGTATACCAGCTTCACGCCACGCCAAGATGAATTTTTCAAAGCTACATTAAATACAAAGAAGCTGCTACATGAGCAACAAAAAAATACACAAGCATTTCATACAATTACAAGCCACTCCCAGCCAGTCCTTCACAAAACCAAACGCAGGCACAAAATATAAATAAAAAAACAACGTCAAATGCAACTAATCAAAATGCGGAGAAAAAATGAAACTAATCAAAATGCGGAGAAAAAATGCAAATGGCAACTGAAAGATTCAAATAAAATTCACTCTTCCAATCCTATAAATAGAACCTCCCTTTCATTCTAAAATCAAGCTTTCACATCCAAAAACACTCCACACTTCATCTTCTTCTTTAAGCTCTAAAACCTCTTTTAAAGATCCAAACCAAAAAATCAATTCCATTCATCACATTTCAACCACAACAATAACATTTAAGAAGAGTATAAGTGAGAGGAAGAGTAATTGAAGCACTTCTTCCCCTAATTTGAAGGTATTGAAATTTTTGACGTAAACCATGACCTAACACCACGTAAAACGTAGCACTCAACACAATTATGAGTGCATGGATTTCGTCAAAAAATTCAGAAGCAACAGCTCGAAAATTTTGTAACAGAGAACACAAAGCAATGCTAAAATACCTGTCATGCATTTGGAAGTAAGTAGTTCAGCTGTCTTTGCAAGATACTTATCGCATACAGACTCGTCACTTGAAATTCCTTCTGCCTCGACTAATGCTTGCCTCTCAAAAAGATCACCGCTCAAAAGAATACGACTAGCCTTAGAAGGTGAACAAGAATATTAAAGAAGGAAAAAGAATAACAATCAAAACAGTAACTTCCCAATTAACACAAATAAAGATAAACAACTAACAAGCTAGAGTATTTTGTAAGAAATCAAACTTAATATGAAAACTAACCATAAATATCACTGAGTTAGATAATATATATAGTAAGATATAATAGTATAAGAAAAATGCTTTATGTAGCAAAACGAAAGATAAACGAGTGATGTGGCATTAGTTTGACCCCTTTTTATGCTACCACTACCCATGAATTCCACAAATGCCGGAAGATACATCCATCAAAGGTAATACACATCATGATTCGTGAATTTCACGAAAATAATTCATCGTATTAAATAGCAATGCTGATAGTATAACTATGTAATACACTAATATATAATAAATGGTTTTGAATAAAAGAAAAATTGTGTAGTTGTGGGTATAGTAAAAGGAGGATATGCTATATTATATTTTATTTGAATCTCATATGAAATAAGATATATTCAAGTATTTATAACATTAAATCTAGTATAGCCATTGTTCCCCAAATTTCCCATAGTCAAACCCAACAATAAATCAGAAATAGACTAAAGCTATGGCAGTAATGAACTTCGGGAGAAATAAATGTCCCAAAGCAGCCAGGTATGATGGATCATCATATTTGTGAGAAAAAGCTATATATATATATATATATATATATATATATATATATATATATATATATATATATATATATATATATATATATATATATATATATATATATATATATATATATATATATATATATATATATATATATATATATATATATATATATAAGAAGCGGTTTAGAAGTTGAAGGAATTTTCAGTTGCCATTGGGGGAGTTCTCAACAAGATCAACAAACCAAAGATGCTCTTGCTGAATCCAAGGTAAAATGACAAAAGAATTGATTTCGAAAGAATTGGATTTATAAAATTGATTCTGGTGAAAATTGGTTTTCATTTGGATGTATTCGATTCTGGTTAAAATTGAGTTGAAAATAAGTTAGAATCAATTCTGAAGAGAAAATTAATTTTCTCGAGAATACTGAAACCTGTCATCAAATCGGTTTTACATGCATGAAATCAATTTTGAATCATTTGTTAGGTTGAATCGTTGCATCGTGGTTCTGATTTTGGAATATTAAATTTTTTACAACCAAATAAAAGAGCTCAAGGTTGCAATTGGACCCTTGTTAGGAAACAGCTTGAAGTACTGCACTGATGCTTGTTTGAAGCGATATCTAAAAGCTCACAACTAGAATGTCGACAAGTCCAAAAAGATGTTGGTAGACACACTCAAGTGGAGATCAGTCTATAAGCCCGAGAAAATCCGTTGGCTATGTTTTGTGTTTGGTCTCATTTTTTTTATGATTTTTGTGCACCGAGTATTGTCTGAGATAATTCAAGATGATGTAAATGATGATTTAGGATGAGGTTGCAGAGGAAGGGGAGACATGGAAAGTTTATCGAGCGGGTTTTCATGACAGACATGGAAGGACTGTTCTTATTTTGAGACCTGGAATGCAGGTATGATGATGAATTTGAGATATTTGGTTTCACTTATACAATAAGCACTTATTTCAATAAGCACTGAATGTTTGATGTGTTTGCAGAACACTTCTTCGATGGACCAAAGATGGACCAACAATGGACACAAGTTTGAGAGGAAGGAGAAGTTGTTGCAATGAAGAAGAATATGTCTTTTAAAAGTTCCACATTGATTTTTGTATAAGACATAAAAGTGTTTATAAAGCTGAAACAAACACTACAATTTAATTGTGGATTAGAAAGATGGACCAAAGACATAGGTAATAACTAAAGGTCCAAAGAGTTTCATTTAAAATTTTGATTAATTAATGATTCATTTGTATGGATCCTCTTGTATTTATTTGCTTATTGCTGGTGGCTTACTCTAAAGGAATGAGATTTTGGTCTTAACTCTTGTTAAGTGCTGGCTAGATTTTGGTTAGTACACTTGCACACACTTCCAGATTATTTCTTTTCTTAGGATAGTCTCTTCATCTCCTCCCTTTCTTAAATTTTCAAAATCTTCTTGTTTTCAAACTTGAACCACTTTCTCAATAAACCTTGACTTTGTCAAGTGACTTTCAAAACATTTTTCTTAAATAAATGCTAAGACATCTTAAGCATATTAAAACAATTTCAAAAGACTTAAAAAACACAAAACTCATTCAAATATTTTGTGCCTTTGTGCATACTTTTCCCTTTAAACTTTTTCTTAAGGGTAGTCATTAGTTGTGTTCTTGTAGTGACGCAACTCCTATATTTCTACAATAATGTAGGAAGTGATGACATTGTCCACTTAGATGTTGAGTGATAGTCTTGTTGATTTCAATATAAGCAAAAGTCCTCCATCTTAAGATAATACAAATGTTTCTTCCTCATTAATTGTGGGTAGTATTTTGAGTTTCCTCTCGAATATGACAAAATGTCTATTCATTTAAAATCATTCAAAACAAACACTTTTGTTAGTTTTTTTTCAAGAACTACAAGGTTCTGATACTCCATTGCACTTTGTGGGTACGTAGGTACAATGCTCGGGAAGTCATGTCAAACACTAAAAGTCTTTAAAAATATTTCTCTTCTCATCTCCCCAATCTTTTGCAAACAAATGATTTTAAGGAAAACATAGATTTTCAAGAGATTCCTATAGAGTACTATAGATGTTTTGTGTAACAGCCCAATTTTTCAATAAGTGATTAATTGTGCTAATTAATTGGTTTATGTGATTTATCTGATTTAAATAAATTATTGGATTTATTTAAATGAGTTAATGGATTTAATTAATTTATTCTACTTGGTAGAATAATGTGGATTTATTAGATATTCTCTAATTAATGATAAGATGAGATATTTTGTGAGAAATGAATTGATAGGTATTTTTTAGAGAAGAATTATGATGAAAAGAAAATAGAAGGATATATAAGGGAAATTGGAGAGAAAAGAAAAGAGATAGAAACATAAGAGAAAGAAAGAAAGAAAAGGAGAGAAAGAATAGAGAAAGAGGAGAAAAGAGAAGAGAAGAGGGAAACTTGGAGAAATCATCAAGAATCAACTTCAAGCTTCAATCCAATCAAGGTAAGGGTGAGAAACATTATTATTTGATCAATGTGTATGATTATGTATGAGTTGTGTTGGATTTGTTGGGTGTTTTTCTCTATTTTCCATTTCTAGGGCAAATGAGTTAAATCGATAGAATCGAGTTTTGAACGGTTAGAATTCAAAATAAATTGCATAGTTTAGTCGGGTAATGTTTAGCCGTGATTATTGGATTTCGTTTGATTGAATTTGGTTG